CATATTTTGTTGGCTTTTCCCTTCTATCTCTGTGTCTCCGCCTCTGTTCTCTATCCTTAAATCTTTATATAACCGGCATAACCAAAAGCCTCAACATATATTAAATATTCTGAATCAGAGAATTTAAGTGCTCAGCTAAGACATTAATATGTGAAACCCTTCTCACGCTTCCGCATTCCCCTTTCCGCTCCCCCTCCAAACCCACTCCTCTTCCGGATAACTTAGTCGCATTCCTTCAACCTCCGGCGCATATCGAAAACTTGAGCTCATATCCAATGGCTGCAAAATGGTTTTTAGTCGAAAGATGCGGAAATAGTCTACGGCATGGTTACGGAGGGAGAGATGGGGGTGGGCGTGGACGTGGGCGTGGGTTTGGGAGTGGCACAAAATTAACTTTGCATGGAATTTAATTTACGTCCACGACGTTGATTTCCTGCCAAAGCAACCGGAGCCGGAGCCGGAGCCGGAGCTGGAGCTGGAGCCGGAGCTCAAGCTGAGGCTGAAGCTGAAGCAGCTTCCGTCATTTCCTCAATGCAAAGGTTTTTTTATATTTTGTTGTTGTTGCTGTTGGATGTCCCTGAATGCCTTTGCCGGCAGCTAAGAGCCCAGCTCGCTTCCTGCAGGATGTAAAGACGTCATCGTCAGAGTCCTGCCAGCTAGAGTCCTGCCACCACTCTCCACCAGTCTCTGTTGTGTACATTTCAACGTCGAAGTCAGTTGTTTACCCACTTTAATCAGCCCACACGACTGGGCTGGGCTGGGTTGGGCTCGTCCAACTGAATGTTTGCCAGGCAGCTCAGTCACAAGAGAGTCCTGCGAGTCCTGCCTGCTTGCCTGCCTGCCTGCCTGCTTCCTTGCAAATGCTGCAGCTTCCGTTTCCGGGATATAATGTTCATATTTTCGAGGACATTTACAGGAAATAAAGTACGTCGCCCTCCTCTCACTCTGTCTGTGTGTGTGTGTGTGTGTGTGTGTGTGTGTGCTCTCTGTGGGGCATATAGCCTCGCAAAGGACTTAACCCGGGCACCACCCATCCGCCCACTGCCCAAACACTTCCTCCTTTGGGGCACAGAGCAGCAGTCACAACTTTTGCCGTGCGCGCATTTATGCCAGCCCAGTCAAAGCCCGACCGTCAGTCAGCTACTACCTTACGCCCTCTTCACATTGCCACGCCCCCCTTTGGCTTTTCCGTGCTTCCGTAGCAGCCGTAGCAGCAGCAGCAGCAGCAGCAGCAGCAGCAGGATGCCCGGCTGCAGAGTACGTTTTGAATTTTGTCGCACTTCCTGTTACGTTTCGCTGGCGAGAGAAAGGGCGAGGTGTGCTAGAGATGCGCACTAGTAGTTCAGCGCGGAGAACTAGTTCAGCACTGTTCCATTTGTACTGAAAACTGGGTATGAAAAATATTTGTCCAATACTTAAATTTGATTTTAAATAATATAAATTAAAATTTATTGTCAAATAATGGGTTTCTTCATATGAACTAGAAGTTAGTAAGGGTCTCGAAATCCTTATGAACTAACATTTCTTTAAGTCTTTGATTTACTGTCTGTTTTCTTATTTTTATTTATGACTTTTTAGTTTATTGCCAAATGAAACAAAAAACTCCTTAAATGGCTCAGCTCAACAATAAAATGAACTATAAAACAATAGAATGCAGCTTAGTTCAATGTTCAGTTCCCATTTACTTGCTCAGCAAGTTCACTCAAATGTTAAATCCTCTTGGGACTTTAATTTAGTGATGCGCAATAATGAAAAAGGAAATTTGTTAGTGCTTCAGCAGAAATTCCCTTGAGCTTTAAATAATTGTCCCAAAATGAACGCTTCACTCTAGAAGTGAATGATCAAATGAACGTATATCGAATGTTCGGCTCAGCGATTGGCTCACACGAACCAAATGTGAACTTGTTGGTGCAGCGCTTTTGAGCGAATGGCGCCCGCCTCCCATTTTTCACGTGGGCGCCGAGTCCTGCCTGAGTGCCCCCCGTCGGCAAGAGAGCTGCAGAGCTGCGTGCTCTTCCGCTTTTGCTCTGTCATCAGCAACGTAATTTCCGCTCTTTGTGTCTCTGCACGTGGGTGGCAAAACAGAAAAGGATTACGAGCTAAGGGAGCGACGCCAAAAAGCGAATGCAAACAAAAAAAAAAAGCAAAACAGAAAAGGAAGAAGAAGCTAAAGCTGAAGAGAAGCAAAGGCAACTGCTGCGATTGACCTGCACGCAAAGTTCATAAACATCAAGTGGCGGGCATATCAAATGGCCAAATGGTCAGTGGCCAGTGGGTAGTGGCTAAGGCAACAAGTGATCCGCGCCCAGTTGGCAGACAGGTATCAACAACAGCAACAATAACAACAACAACAACACTGTCCGGCTTGGCAGTTCATCAAATTCTCATGTGACCAAAGCCCAAAAGGTTCAATTCGTATGAAATTTGATATGCGCTTCACATATTTAATGACTTCTTTTCACATTTTACATAACACTCGATTCGATGAACTGACGACAGCCACGCCTCCGCCCACCCCCCACCAAAAGACCTCAACACCGACTCCAACTGCAACTCCAGCTCCAGCTCCAAGCAGCGCTGTTGCACCCAGTCACTTGTTGGATTCTAGGGCTTGGCTTCGGAAATTCCCATTCCCGATCATGGCGACCCTTTCCAGCAGTGCGCGCGCGTGTGTGTGTGTGTGTGTGTGTAATCCAGGCGCGTGATGGAACGCCGGACAATGGAAGTGCCACTGCAGTGGGTGTGTATGTGTGTGCGTGTGTGTGTGTATAGGTGTGCCTGTTGAGCGAACGACTCGACTGCATTTGTATGCAGCGTGGCGGATGCGCCGGGAGAAGCGTTTATTTCTTCATTTGACGCAAATGATGTTCGACACAAGCCTGGAATGCACTAAACCGCTAGCTAAGCATAAACCGGAGCCGTGATCCCCCAATCCCAGCGCTGAAAACCCAAAACCAAAAACCCAAAGTCGAGTGTTGAAACTCGCAATCGAAACCGAGCTCAACTCCAGAGTTTTCTGACCGCAGCCGGCGAAGGGCAGGCAAAGGAAACGAAAGGGCGTACGCAGGCGGTGGCGGTGGCAATGCCAACAATAACAACAAGTGCCCAAATACACTGCACGAAAAATACTAGCCAAAGGTCAGCATATGCTGATTGAAGATCCGAAGCGATTGCCGTTCTGGATTTTGTGAGTATACTTTTATCATTCTGTGATCTATTGATTTAAGAGAATTTAGATATTTAAGAATATATCTCAAAAACTAGCTCATATTTGTAACATCATTAATAATATACGATAATTAGATGAGCATAATTTAGGACCATTGGAATTAGAATTCTGGATATATTGATTTTATGAAAAAGCAACAAGCAGAGGAGCTTAGCATACATTACAGAGTATATATATTTCTGATCAAGAGAACGTACCGAGTAATACCTAAAGAGTTCATATGCAGTACGATAACTGATCCCATTTTCTTATTTTCAATAGTTTAAATTGTTTATTGAAAGCCATAAAATCTGAAGATTTCGAATTTACTGTGTGAATGTACAAGTTAGGGATATTCCCCCTATTAATTGCAGATTATAATATATGTATTGGTATATCGAGCTTAGACTTGTATGAGTTATAGTATATGCGTTTACACACATACATGTATGTACCCATAGATAGTCGTTATATGGAATGCATTTACCCTCACTCAAACCCATAGGCAACACAAATTTTCTCTCAGTGCACGCTTCTTGTTATTTGAAACCCGGATTTAAACAGAACATGAAAAAGAAAGAACAACGAGTCACAAATTACTTTTACCGATCACAAAATCTACAACAACAACCAGAAAAGAAGAAGAAGAAGAGTAATAAGAACAAGAAGAAGAAGAAGAAGAGACATTGTCGAGGATGATGACAACTCCAAGTGAAGTGGACGCCAGCTGAATGCAAATGCACAAATTAAGCGACGCAACAAACAAATTTCCTATGTGGACAAAATGCACTTGCCCAAAGGTTGTCCCGATGCCATGCCCGATTTATATATACGTACATGTGTACATGTTCGATATCCAATATCCCAAGCCAAACCAATTGTGAATGCTAAATGAAATTCTGCTTGGCGGTAAATGGACATTATTTTTATGTACATATATAAATTGGAATTTTTTGAAAGGCCGCCAAGCCGGATGAACTTATTGTTTATGAACCTTTTTCCCTTGAATTGCTAAGCGGAAAAATCGAGTGGAAGGCGTTGACAGTCTATAAAGTAAACTGAAAACACAGTTTGAAAACATCTTGATACATGTAGATAGATGCATTAAGATAAATAGATAGAATCTTCCTATCTCTAATTATCATTAACATTACATTACCCATCCTCTATAAGAGTCTAAAATTACAAATATAATAATTACTCTATAGTTTAGAATGTTAAAAAAAAAAAAAAAACAAAATTTTTTAATTTTAAGTTTATTTTTATATATTTAAACTAATCGATGTAAAAAAAATTTTTTTTTTTCACTTGAATCAAAATAAATTTCACAAACTTCATGTGAAATTTAATGAAGATTGAAAATAATGAAGACAAATTTAATTGATTTATAAATTATCTTAAAGTTTTCAACATAATTTCCGTAAGCTCATGAATTCCTCAAACCACTCTCGCAGTAGTTTTTAATTTACCCATAAAAATGTTTTAATGCATATATTAAATAAATTTAATTTACTAAATTATGAAAACAAATTTTAACAAATTTACAGTTACATTTTTTCAGTTCTTTCAAGATAAAAGACACTTAACGAAAATATCAAGCTGTATATAAATGTGAATAAAACAAAAATCATTAAGTTTCATTTATATAAAAATGTTTATATATTGCATATAACTATAACACAAAATCGATTAGTTTATAGAAGTAGACTTTGGATTTCTTAAGAAATCTAAATGATTATTTTATCAATATATTTTTATTTCATTTATATAAAAGATTAAATATATATATTTGTATGTATGTATATATTGCTAATAGCTACAACAAAAAGGATAAACAAGTAATGAATCGAAATAGATTTCAGTAAAATCGAAGCTTGTCAATTGGGGAGAGCGAAAGCTGCTCAACTACACTACGCTACAAGTTGGGTATATACCACACACACATATGCACGCATGTGCATATATATGTGATGTGACTGCATATATATATGTATGTTATCTGCTCTAGCAGGTAATTGTAACACTAAGTTCTCAGACACAATCACGCCTAACTCTTATACAAAAAGTGGAAGCTTATAAAAATCTTATAAAAATGTCATTTCAACACAAAAAGAACTTATGTACACCAGTGTGGGTGGGTGGGCGCTGCACACYTCTCAGAGCAGCAGCAGGAGGCGATCAAAGAGCGTGCCGGTCGGCACCTTGTCCAACTCTCAGAGACCCGTGTGACTCGTCTGCAGCTGCTCAATGGAAATGGACAGCTGTTCCAGGCGCTGCATCAGCTGCAGCATATTCTCCTGCGCTCGACTCGTGTTGAACTCCTTGCCGTGCTCCAGCGAGTCCTCCTCGGCGGCAGCCAACTCGAAATGCAATTTAGCCAGGCTCTCCTGTTGCTCGCGTATTTTGGTCATTTGATCCATGGTGCAGCCAGAGCCTAGATAAAAGGAGCTCGGATTAGCAAATATGTACATCTATACCAATCTATGTAAAATAGTTACCAAATGCCTTTAGCTTGCCGGAGTGAAAGTCATCCAGCAGGCCAAGCAGCGCTCGCTCCATATGCTTCACATCGGGCACTTCGGAGACAAAGGAATGATGTTTAATTGGACGATCGTCGAACTTGTCGCTGTGAATGCTTGGATCGGCCATTGGAATATGCAACTGCTGCAAGGGCGGCGGCAGCGGCTTTGTCGAGCTATTGTTGTTGTTGTTGCTCACTTTAGAGCTATCATTGTTGTTGTTGTTGTTATTGTTAGGTGTGGGTGCATCTGGCGTTAGCCACTCGCTGCTGACCAGCGTAATGCTATTCAAACTATGCTGACTGCTGCTGTGCGTTGGCTCTAAAGGATTTCCATCTGCATTTCGCATTTAAAATCAAAATCATGAAAATAAAAATCAAAATCAAAGCAAATAAAAATAAACAGATTAAATGAAATGATAAATAAGGAAATTATAGCAAGGTACATACAAACTATAAGGCATACAATACAAAATGAAGTTCAAATAATACATATATACAAGGAATATCAAACTAAGTCTTCAATTGAGAATAAACTTAAAATTAAATTAAAACTTTGTAAACATCAGCTACCACATCAACTATAAAACAATAAGCTGTGTATATCTGCATATATTATATATGCCTATAATCAAGCTAAAAAGTCTACATCTATAGTATAGAGTCGATTTCTATGCTATATCAAGTTTACAGTACAGTATGGAGAGTCTATATCTAAAGTACATAGTCTTTATATATAGTATATAGAATGTATATCTGTATAATTAACAATTTCTGAACAAATCACATAATATCACATATACTATACAACCCCTCTAGTTTCTTCCAAAACTTTTCTAATTTATCTCTACTTATATTCTTAATTTATCTCTATTCATATAAGCTAAACTGGCAATAAGAACTAGTTAAACTAATCTTTGCATTAACTCTTATACTAAACAAACTCTAACTTATTAAATTTCCTGCAGCAATTCACGCAATTTACACAATTTTAAATCACATAAGAAAAAAGCTTAAACAAATCACAAAATTACGCGAATTCGCCACAATAAAATAGCAACTGCCTGTTCCAAGCACAAAAACCCAAATGCCAGACGACAAATCCCACGGACTGTGCTGCCCCCTCAGCTCCCCCTTCGCTCTATCGAAAGACGGAGCCACTAGGCAAATGGCTTGTAATTTAAATTATTGAAATTATAACAGTTTGTCGAAATTCCCCTCCCTTTGTATTTGAGTGRGTGGGTGGGAGCACGCCCGTGTGTGAAAGACTAGTGTGCACAACATATGGCTCTAGAAGTGCGTCACAAGGCCGTTGATGTTACTGTTGCCGCTGCCGTCGCCGCCAACAAACGGTTCAATTCCTTGAGAACCTCCACAGCGACTGGAAGTTTAGAGGAAAAACTGAAGCATGCTTCTATACACTTATCAGCTTACCCTTCAGCAGCTTGCGCGGACGCGTCTTGAACTCGAATCGCTCTTCATTGGCCGCCCCGCTGTTGGGCGCATGTGGGCGTGGCCGGCGCTCATTGACGTATTGCAACGTAGTCTTAGCAGAGGGCTGACCCTGCTGTTGTCCTTGGCCCTTCTCTGATATAGTGCGTTCGATGGAGCACGAGGCTGAATTGCGGCTACGTGTTGTTTCGCCACTCGACAGACCTTTAAGCTGCATTAAAAAATGGGAAATCGTAAATTTTGTCAATTGCAAATTGGGCGTGTGCCATTTACATTGATCTTTGGCACAGTGACGGGTGTTGCAGGTGTTTGCGCTGATTTCGCTTCCTCCTCGGTTTCCACATCGTTGGGCACCAGCTTCTGGCGCTCCACAACCTCATCATTGGGCTCCATTTCTCTATTTATTTATATTTTTCTTACACGGTTCAACAAAGCAAAACTAAATGTATTTTTGGCTTTGTGTGTGTCTAACCATTCCCAATGAAGCGTGCACAATCAGCTGATTACGATTTAGAGTGGCCATAAATGACGAATTATCTAAATCAACCCTGTAGGCTGACTGCACAGGGTGCTTATAGGATAACTTTGGCGCGAGGTTTAAATAAATAGAGTTTATTTCTATATTTTTATTGCATGAACTGCTTGTTTATATACATATAATGTACACACTTATGCCTTTTTCTTGCTGAAACCCATTGTATAGATCATGTGGGCAATGCTTATTAAGCCCACGCCGCACAGAGCTGCCGTAATGCCAAATAGAGCCTTATCGGCGGGTCCGCCCTTAAGGAACACAGGCAAATCATTGACAGCCTGCAAGAAATATTATTAACTAAAAGAAGATACTTAAAATATACGTTTAAATTGCCTGGAAAGTCTTCATTTTGCCAGCCAAACCTTCGGGTAACGCCATTATTTCTGATGAGTATTATGTAATTTGCTGAAAATCCATTAAGAATAATAATATAAGTCAAATAAAGTAGAAGGAAATGAATATTCACAATTATGAAATCAATTGTAATTACTAAAAAATATATTTAAAATATTATTATTATTTTTATATGTAAATCAAAGAGCTCACTTTTTAACTTTTTCAACACAGCAACAATTCTCAATGTTGCGAATGTAACTGTTAAAAATAGAAAATAAATTCACAGATGTTGGTGCAGCTGTTAATAAGGGAATTGCAATTGCCAAAGTGCCAGTGTTGCCAGCTGCATGCATTTTCCAATTCAAAAATAAATATCCAATCAGCCTGAGAGAGACAGAGAGAGTGAGACAGTCACACACAACAAACGTGACTCGCAATGGCTGCAATTCAAATTAAGCGGCTCGCGGAACGACCGAGGGACGTTGTGAACGACCATTTTTCGATTTGTACGGTTCCGTTCGCGCTATTTTGGCTTTTTGTGAATTTTTCAACAGGCGCGCAGCGAAAGCTGGCGGCGAACAGTGTTTTCTGCACAGCACTTTTCAGAGAGTGCGTGCGAGCGCGCAAGCATGTGTCGCAACAAAAACTAAGCACAGTCGTTGTCTCGCTTGCACGCGCACAGCCGCCAGCGCCAAAAGCACTCCGAAGCATTTCAGTGGCGAGGCCGCCTCCCGGCGTTTCTGGCAGCCTGGTGGGGATTACAATAATTCTACACCGAATGAGTTGTGCAATTTTTTGCGTCGTCGTGTGTGCACACTCAATTTTGTAGACCCAACGAAGTGGGCAGCCGAATTGAATGAGCATGCAGGCTAACGGAAAATATGGCGAGCCGACTCGAATTGGGAATCAAATAAATATTATTTACAAAAATTCGAAATGGCTTTTGTGGAAGAAAGAAATATATAGGAAAGAAATATTGAAACAAAGCAGAAAAAGCTGTTTAAGCTCTCGCCGAAATAAACGCTTACGTTGCTGGCTCGAATGGCGGCGGATCGCAGCGTCTCTCCCCGCCACGCCCCCCATGGGCTGACCACCTATCAGCTGTTTTCTAAATAATACACACAGAAAAGATATCGCCCTGCTAAAGCCTTTGCTGATTTTTAGCTCCCAGTACAAGAACTTTCAAAATCTGTAGCTTCCAAACAAAATTAACTTGCCAAAGTTGCGAAAAGCGATGACGACGCTGATGGCAACGGCGGCGCCGGCAGCGCCGTCGACTGCAACTTTGGTTTTCCGAAACTTGAAAAAAGTTAAATCTGCCAAGTTCACCTCTGCCGAGTGCTTTTATTATTGCTGTCGCAGCCGCTGCCGTCGCCCATGTGTTGTGCGCGATTCTTCTTTAAGCACACAACACACACACACACGCTCAGAAAGAATATGCATGCTCTTCACAGTCTGCCTCTTCAGTGCCTTCGTTCCGCCACCCGCTCTCTGACCGTATCCCTATCTCTTTCTCGCTCCTGCTCGTACTCGTGCTCTACCTCTGGCGTTCCAAAAAGTTCAAGCTTATTTTAAGTTCTAAACTTAAACTTGTTTCGTAAGCTGCTCGAGTTACATGCACACACACATACACACACCTACATGCTCATGCATATACCAGTAAAAGTTTTCTGAGCGGAACTTTAACCAAATACATTTTTCATCACAATGAAAAGATTCTTTGCATTGAATTATGTATTTAATTATTTAAAATAGTTCCAATAAGTGCGATCCTTGCAGCTAAACCTAATATATAGATATAATATGTTGATATAAATTGGGAATATTAAAAAATTATAAAGCTGGTTAATTAAAATTTAAAAACTTTAACTTTTGACTTAATGAAAATACACGTTTTTCGTTTAATTTGTTTTGCACGACTCACTTTTATTTGCCTCTTGTATTTAAATTGATATTATTCCTTATTGAAATATAAATAATTACCAACAAACCATTTAGTTTTAATTATATTTTCTAGTGTGGGATTTATGCCAATGTATAATTAAGATATTGAAGTTGGCGCTAAAAAGCCCATCAACAGCGACGAACACCTACATGCACACACACATTCAGACACACCTCAGCGACGTATAAAAAGCACTGTTGATGCTTTGCTCAGTGCTTAACGAATCGAAAGTTTTTTTTATCAGAAAGCCAAAAAAGAAACACAGGAACTACATAGTTTAAATGGAACGCAGTGCATAAGCTGTACCCGGCTCAGAACAAGAGCTTATTTACAGTTATGTACATGCTGCTGAACGGAAGAAGCAGGGGGCAGGGTGGATTAGACAGCCATAAAAGTTCTGACAAACGAGCTTAAAAAGCGATTCAATACGCAACAAGCCCAGAAAGAACTTTAATTAAAATGTTATCAGCAAAGTGATGAATAACTATGTATATACATATGTATATTAATATAGTATATCTAGTCATTATTATTATATACATACATACATATGTATATTATGCATACAAGCGGTAAAGCTTTAGAAACAACACTTTGTTAAAATATAAATTTAGCTTTTAAAACTTTGACAAAGTCTAAATCTCGATGCGCTTAAAGCTTAAGACATTGTCAATGCCAAAAAAGCAAACAAAATAAGCAATTAATTGATAGTATAAAACTGATTATTAAATATTTAAGCAATGCAATTATCATCTCATACAACTTCAACACAATGACTCCAATTAGACAGCGTTTAAATTCCAATTAGCGCTTTGCAAAATCAAATAAACAATCTCGGGCTGCGTATTTTTTGTTGCGCTCACTCGCCGGCTGCCTGACTGCGACGGCCTGTCTCGCCTATCTACTCCTTTTCCTTTTCACAAAACAAAATGGATTGCTCTTTAACTAAAACAGTTAGCAGGCGCTCAGCAATGGCGGCAAACACAGCGCCGCTCAGCGAGAACTAAACACAGCAAACACGTGTTGTATGTACGCAAGGCATATGCACACCCTAGGGTTGTCTCGCTCGCACTGCACACTGGCGCGCGCTATTTTGGCATTCACAGTTGCTCAGCGCGAGCGCTCGATGTGAATCAATGGCGTATTTTGCAGCCTGCGTTTGCTGCTGCGCGCCTGTTGAAAAATTCACAAAACCGCTACGAATATAACGCATTCACACTATTCACTCACTCACTCGCTCGCTCGTGTACTCGCACTCGTTTGTGGTCGCACTCTGTCGAGTACCGTTTACCCACTGCCGACTATCGGCTACCGGCTGCCGGCTGAGTGGTTCTACGAAAACTTCTGGCCTTTTGTCGAGCAAGTCGCAATAATACCGTTTTTATTCAAATTTCGAGCTGCGCTTATGAATAATTTACGTAAAATGCATATTGTATACATATGTACATATATTTACATAACTATATTTGAGTATTTATTGAAAATTTCTATAGGCAGAGCGAGCTCGGCTAGGTGAATGGCATTTTATCTTATTAGCAAATAATTCACAATAGATAAGCGAAAGCAATAATAATTTTTTGCAGGTGCTATAATGAGTACACTCATTGCATTTAAATATGACCAAGTACAGTGGGCATAATTTAACACTTGATATTCGCTTTTGATTTCATTCGCGAATTGAGTTCGATGCGGCTCGCTGTGGCCAACTGCAACTCCAGTGGCGACTGTTGTAGACGCCAGTGTTGGGCAACTCTGAAGTGAATAGTGAAGCGGAATGGTGCTAGTACAGTGAACACTACTTGGCCAAATCCACCTGAGTTGTCGCAACAGCAGCAGCACCATGTTCGGTGCCTGTGGCTGACGTCGATTTGGCTTTCGAATGGGGGATGTTGTAAAAAATGTTTGAACTGTTTTAAGTTTAAGTTTTAACGGTAACAGTGACGCAGAAGTGAGCAGCACGTCGCTGAGCGAAATATGCGCCGACCAGTGTGAATGTGAGTGAGCTGCAAGTGTGTGACTGTATGACTGTGTGCGGTGTATGTGAGATTGGGAATGCGAGTGTGAGTAGCGTGTGCTTGTGTGCGATTACCTTGGCATTGAAATAAATTGACACATGCCGACACACACACACACACACGTATACGAATGGCGAATCCGAGAGAAGTTCATTAACTCGTTAACATTTGCAGCGGTCATGCGCTGAGGTGAATTAGACGTGTTGTTCTTGTTTTTGCTGGTGTAGTCAATGCGTGCGTGTGTAAATGAGAGAGCAGGCTTAAGTGCCGCTGCTTCAGCATTTGCTTTTGTGTGCGGTTCGCCTTTTTTTGACTAACCGAAAATGCTAATTAGTTGCCCTTGGAATTGAGAGAGCGAGAACGTGAGCGAGCGTGAGAGTGAGTGTAACAGCTAGAACTCACTCAAATGTTTGCGCTGGCAACGAGCTTAGCCGCCCGTTTGCTTCCCCTTCAAGTTTGTTTACTGTGTGTMTGTGTTGGTTGTAGCAACAGTAGTAGTAGTTGCTGTTGTTGTTGTGCTGTGATCACGATTTGCTTGCTGGCTCTTTTTGCTGTTTTTGTTGCTGTTGCTGTCAAATGTGTTTCAAAGTCAATGTGTGCGAGAGCGAGACAAACGCGCTGACCCAACCTCAATCAAAAGAATCACCTTGT